TTATACAGGACAAACAAAATTACCACCTATTCGATTTGTCAATGGATCTGCAACCATGAAACGTTGAAACACATAAAGGCCAAGAGCACAATTCCTTGGATCTACGATGGGAGCATTTGCGTTATCTAGCTGTGAGACCTGTGTCTCGCCAGGTTTGTGCGACCACTGTCCGTTGTTATCCAGTCGATACCAGTGGAAATCACCCGTACGTGCCGCTGTATCTAGGAATGCATAACAGCAATCTGTCAATAACAAGGTAACTTGGGCTTTTCATTCCATAACACCTAATGATAATGATGGTCATAGTGATGATCATGATGATGATAATGATGGTGATAATGATGGTGATAATGATGGTGATAATGATGGTGATAATGATCAGGATGATAATGATGGTGATGGTGATGCTACTGCTTCTGATGATGATAATGATGAATATTACAATAAACCCACACTGCCTGCCTCAAATGGCTTTAGCTAATTGTGAGTAGTGTGTATTTGTAATGTATTTCATTGCTTTTAATGAAGTTGTTGTTGTTGTTGCTTGGAATCATAGCCTCTATGTTTAGAAGGCCAATATCGGCATATCAAATTGAACATCACAGCGAGTCTTAGAGGACCCAAACAAAGAAAATAAATAACATGCTTTTCGATTTTTGTTATTTATGTTGTGTAAGACTCGCTGTCAAGCTGAATTTCGAAAGTGGTCTTTTGCACTATTAGTCATTAGCATTTACATTCATTCAAAATATTAATCCATTTGTGATCAGCTCAAATGCCCCGGCTAATTCTTCATAACCAGCTTGCGTTTACCAAATCTGAAAGCGATGGCGAATGCGATAAAGTAACAACAACAACAACAACAACAACAATAACAACAAATCAATAGTGCATGATAACTGAAGAAATAGGCACAGTAACCGAGAGCCCTGGGGACGACGCCTCGTTAACTGTAAGAAGTTTTGTTGACAAGACTCGTTGTTTTTATTGATGCTCTTGAATTTACAGTCGGCTGAATGTTTTTTGTCGTTTGTTTCTTTTCTTTTTTTTAAGGACTTATGCGATATATATTTTTTTTCGATGCAACTGTCATCTGCTCATGAAATACACATTGGGAAGCTTAAGATCGACACGTTTTTGAGGCGACGGCAACTACAACCGGACGTGACGTAATGATTTGTACCACATTGCGCATGCTCTTGCTGACCACCTTGCCGTCGTGGTCCCGTCGACGACGTGAAACTGGTCTGTTTGTGTTTGCCTTGTGGCGAAACGTGAGTATTTAACTTTCATTCCAATCAGCTTTGTTGCGTTCAGCAACTAGAATTTTGCAGATGATCTTTCTTTAATTGTCCTGGTTTTCATTGAGTCACATTTGAAGCTCGATTTCCAAGCTCTGTATATATATATATATAACTTCACAGACGTTCAGGTTTCCAGACACACACTCTCAAGCTAAGCTACTCATGTATGCCAAATATGAAATCCATCATATCGTCACACAACAAACACGTTCTTTCCAATGCAAATGCCCAAATACCGCAACCCGACACCTGCAATTGTACAAAACAGTTTGATTGCCCATTAGAAGGAAAATGCCTTCAAACTAACGTCATCTATCAAGCCACAGTTACTACTGAGACAGCAACTGAAACCTACGTTGGACTAGCCACAAACTTTAAGGAACGCTACAGGAACCACAAAACATCCTTTCGACACTCGAAAAGAAGAAATGAAACACAACTCTCCAAATATGTTTGGAACTTACAAAACGAAAAGAAACCGTTTCAGATTAAATGGAAAATTCTTAAGAAATGTAAACCCTACAGCAACATTAACAAAAAAATGTCGTCTTTACCTGAATGAAAAGTTCATAATCATCTGTAAAAAAAAACTGTGTAGCCTCAACAGAAGAAACGAATTAGCAAGTTCATGCCCCCACAAAAACCGATATGTACTTGGGAACTTTAGAGTAACGTAGCTTAAAACCCGCTTATATCACATTTTTTATAACGACAGATAATCCCTCTTATATAATGTTTTTGTTACCTAGCAACCCTTTCAACAGTTTCATATAACCTGAATGTAACGAATCTACCATAGCAACCTTTTAAATTTTCGCATTTAGTTGCCGGCCTTCCAATTCCGACAGTTCAGTCGTCAACATTGCCTGATGAGTGTGGTTCTTGCAAGCATAAGAAACAGTTCTGTAGCAATAAAAGGATGATTACTCGTGAAACCTGAACTTCTGTGAAGTTATAGCTGATGCTCCTCAGTCAATTGAGTCGAGCGCTCTACGAAATACGTTCTACTCAAAAAACGACTATATTGTTCGTTATCATGTAATAATGGTGTGCGATGCTTGTAGCGGCCATTCACCCTGATGAAGGCCGTTTAACACGGCCGAAATATAGGTGAGAGACGAAAAACATATTGTTTTACTCTTCACTTGTGGTACTGTATATATATATATATATATATATATATATATATATATATACAACTAACTACGAACTGGATTGTAATAGTAGTAATGTTGTCTACTTGCTGTCCTGTAAGGTTTGTCATGCGCAGTACGTTGGGTCAACAACAACAAAATTTAGGCTTAGGTTTAACAATCATAAGGCCCGTTTTAGAGCGCATTCAAGGCTTTCTTTTGAGGGTAGAAACAAGGATGATCTTTTGTATAGACATTTTTTTGGCCAGGGACACCATGGTCTTGAGGATGTCAGTATACAGTTAATTGACAGAGTGTCCGGGGAAGAATCAGCTCTCCGGGATAAAGAAGGCCAGTGGGCCTATAGGTTGAACTGTAGTCAGCCTCAGGGCTTGAAGATAAGTGACTTTTTTTACAGCCAGAATAGGTCGACTAGGTCTCGCGTCCGGTAAGAGCGCGCGCGTGTTTATCTTTCTTTGTAGCGCGTGCAAGTTTTCAAATTTGTTCATTGTCATGTTATAATGGTGTGTGATGCTTGTAACGGCCATTCACCCTGCTGAAGGCCGTTTAACACGGCCGAAATATCACAGGTGGCCCAAGCGTAATATGAGAGTTTGCATGGGAAAAATAGAGTTTGAAACTTAGATGAAATAAATGAAGTAAAAGCGATAAAAGTTCTCAATTAAGTGTAAATATTGTTACCTGGAGTCGTTGTCTTTGCTTTTACGAAGTTTCAGTGCGATTTCAGTACTTTTACAGCATCTGACCTGACAGTGTAATAATAAGAGACAAGGTAGGACAGAATCGCTCGATCGATCTTCAAAGCTGCTCAGAATCAGCTTGAACTTTTATCGCTTTTACTTCATTTATTTCATCTAAGTTTCAAACTCTATTTTTCCCATACAAACTCTCATATTACGCTTGGGCCACCTGTGGAAATATAGGTGAGAGACAAAAAACATATTGTTTTACTCTTCACTTGTGGTACTGTATATATATATATATATATATATATATATATAAGAGGTTTGAACTTGAAATCCGTAAAACAGTGCTCAATACATAAAGTAGAGCGAGTATACGTATGGTTGACGGAAGAAAACAAGTAACTACATAAGTATCCCTACAAGCCTGTTTCGTGGTTGCCCACTCATCCAGCCGCCACAGAAACAAAGCCCTCTTGCGCAACAACTGATGTAACGAACCTCGCACTGAATAAATTATGTAAATCAGTCTACTATATAAGTAATGGTAAAGTTATTCTCATTAAAATCCCCTGATGAGTGGGCAACCACGAAACAGGCTTGTAGGGATACTTATGTAGTTACTTGTTTTCTTCCGTCAACCATACGTATATATATATATATATATATATATACTGTAGTTGAGTTTTGTGGTCTATGGATTGTTTACAACTCCCGTTTATTCGCCTAGAAGAAGCCGTTTCGTGAGCTCAGCGTTTCCTAACAAGAAAAATTTCACTCAAAAACGAACTTTATTTAAGACAAACACGTTTGAAAGCAAATGTTTGCTGAAATTCTACGTTTCAAGTAAATAGGAGAAAGAATGCTACATGAAGACGACGTCTTAGCTGGAGGAACCGAATCGCCATTTTTGGCAGCACTTCATGCGAAGAACGACACAACAAACCTTTTCGGCTGTAAACTTGGCGAGTCAACAGAAAACATTAAAGCTCTTCTTTTCTTCTCAGGTATGGAAACAATTCAAACTTTTCGCGGTTCCATTTAAGTCATTACGCTGTTGTTTGCAAAGTGATAAGCTTGTGAATTGCCATGTTTGAAAATTTTACAAAGATCTTTTTATAAACTTTCGCGTGTCTAGCTCACCTGATCTGTCAATCAAATCGTAGTTTTTAATGGTTTCTTCTCTGATTTTGCTGAGATCACTTCGTGTGTATATACTAAAACAATTATTCTTTTCAATCTCGGTGAATAGTTGCTTTAGAAATATTTACCTCGCCACTTCGTGGCTCGGTAAATATTTAGCCGCTATTCACCTCGATTTCAAAAAATAATTGTTAAATATACACTCATTTTTAAAAAAGTTGACATTTCAGAAACATATACTAATATACAGACCTTTTGTTTTTTCTTTTGTTTCGCCCAAAGAAACAAGTGAAAACGAGTGTATATATATATATATATATATATATATATATATTGCATGCAAGTATTTCCTAAATAACGAGAAACTCTTCATCCGATAAGATGTTGTCTGCATATATCAACTAAGCATTAACTCTCTCAATTCTTTTTGTGAAGCCATATTTTTCTCTTCGGTAGTGTTCTAAGGCGACTTCCTTCTAAGTTCGATGCGATCTTAATGTTCGAATTTTGGCGGGAAGCGACGTTTGCTTTAGTTCCAGGCCAGTCCGGTCGCCGTCGCCTTAAAAACGTCTCCAGCTGAAGTTCCCTAATGACGGTGTTCACTGTAATGTGGTTGTGTTTTAAGTATTAGTGAAAAGAAGTAATTGAAGTTTACTCGGTGTTTAGTTGTTTTTGTAATTGGTCTTGAACAGACTGCATGATTCGTGTAGTGTAAGGTATCGCCTATTCATGGTTCTCTTTAATTGACTTACATGATTGAATATATAACTTAAAAAGGAACTATACAATACAAAGAGATTTTTTTAATCCTTTTTTTTAATCTTTTGTTTATTTCTTTTTTCTGGAACTACACTTTACGTCATTGAGTAAATCAAATTATACTTAGATGTTGAAAATGCTGAGTATCTTGTTCTGTGTCATTTTGGCCAATGTACCATGAGCAGTTTTAAAGTGAAGGAGTGGGTTTTACGACGCAACAACAACAAGCTAGCGAGAAAGAACGGTCATATGAGGATACCAGAGCAAGAATGGCAGGGCAAGAATATTTTCGTTTGGGAGGTACGGCCCGTGGATCTCAATTTTTTTGGAACATTCTATTTTTGTTTTTGTTTTCTTTTTTCACTTACCTGGTTTGACAACTAGTGCTACCAGGTGGCGCCACGCGTGAGCTGGAGCTCCAGGTACTGGTGCAGCTGCTCCTGGATGCGGGTTTAGCTGAGTCAAGCCATCACGTTGCGCAGCTGCTATGAGATTTGCACCGGTGTGAGGATTGGCTATTAGTCCACCCCCAGCATTTCTTCTATAAATCCGTCCACTACCATATCCAGGCTGGGCAAAGGTATCGGTTGCACGGCGAGTCGCGTAGTTATAGCAGTTATTGCACCTTTGTCTCCTGTAGGCAGGTACAAGTGCATTCCATACGGCAGGTTGATAGGGGGGTGCATAACGCTTTCCTCGTACTGGGAAAACCGGAGGTTCCTTTAAAACGAGATCTCCTGCGTTTATAGCATCCTCTATGTCATCTAGATCACCTTGCTTGAGCATTCCTTGCGGCATGGTTTTAAGTATAGCCATTTGTAGCTCAGTACTTTTTGATCCAAGGAGTAGTACCTTTCCTAAATCTAGAAGCTCATCTTCAATCAATATTCCTCTGAAACCAAGTATAGCAGGCATCTGTGAAGGATGGCCAAGGGTTCCCGCTTTTAGGGACTCCACCAAGAGGCCCGTAAGCTCTTCATTATCTGAGACTGACCACTGCGGATTAGGTATGCCGGAAAAGAACGACACTACCACAGTAAACTTTTCTGTAATGGAACATGAAATAAGTAACAGAAAAAAACAAACGTTTAAATAACATAGGCATAATATTGGTGCTTTTATGTTCGCCTTCACAGTGGATTCTACAATGAATAGATAATACTAACGCTTTACTAAATGAGAAGACATGGCGTGGCAAGACATGACGTGACATTGCGTTAGTGAATCAGATTAAACGTTTCGTATGTTGCATTTACATTGCCAACACTTGAGAGATCGCTCAAACCGTGTGTTGGGTATCGTGTCAATATGATTGTTATAATTGTTATGACGGTTCTGATACCTGGACTTTTCCCAACGATTCTTCTTTGACATTCCACTTAAGTGGTCATTCCAAGTTTTCACTACTAAAAACTTGGAATGTTTGAAACTTTGATTTCAGTTGTTGGCATGAAAAAGGGTGGTCAAGCAAACTAGGCTTGATTTGTTGACGGGGAACATCAGAAGCCCCTTGTCTCCGCTGTGCGACAAACGCAGGCTGCAGACGTGCAGACTGGCAGGTAAACGAGGAAAACGTTGTTGTTTATAGGAATAGGGAATCTGTTAGAGCATTCTGCAACAATGTTTACTTCGTTCACCTTGCAGTCTGTAGTCTCCGTTTGTCGCACGCCGCCTTAGCTCGAAGCGAGCGAATTCCATGAACGGAGTTTCACGGCGGATCCTAAAGGTTCTAATTACACCAATAATGTTACACTTCCCATCGGTTGTTTCAAATGTACTAGAAAGTAGAATGATCAATGTAAAATTATTTCAGAGAAAGTAAAATTTTTCATAGCAGAAATACTGATCGTTTTTACAAGACAACATGCTAACTGTAAATCTAAAAATGCAATTTACCTAGTGACTTGCAATAAGTGCAAGGTTCAGTATGTTGGTTCTACTTCCAATGAATTCAAGGTCAGATTGCGCAACCACAAGTCGGCTTTGTCTTCAAAGAAGACCACTTGTGAGGTTGCTGTTCATTTCAACAAAGAAAAACATCTATTAGCTGTGGTCACACCACAGACTTTTTACCGAGGAAAAAGTTGATTTTTTAAGCGAGTCCGATTTTTCCCTATAGGTAACTTACCTCGGGGAAATTTTATCGTCTGGGGCTTGGATATGTCTCGGGAACAATAGACTTTCCCTTGACAGCTACCCGAAAGCGATAGCTTAGGAAAACAAGAAATACCGAGGTTGCTAGCCAATAGACGCTCATCGGCCAAGGTCTTGATGACAGAACCGGACATAGCTCACGCGGTGAAAGAAATTTTTGGGGCACGAATCGTCTACGTTTTCACCTGTTTCACCTTTCACGTTGAATTAGCGTAAGAAACAACAGCAAAATAAAAGAAAAGAACGTCTCTTTGATTGGCTAGATCCCTGCGCATCTTGCTTTCTTGAATTTAAGCTCCAAAAAAATTCAACTACAGTGGAACCCCGCCTTACGACCACCCCGTTTATAAGACCACCTCGTTATTACGGCTATATTCTTTCAAACCAAACGTAAAAGCCATTGAGTCATTTTATTATTTTGAGGACCCCTTTAATGCGACCACCTCGTTATTACGACCAGGATTTTATGGCCCAACGGTGGTCGCATTAACGGGGTTCCACTGTATGCGTGAAAACCTTGGGAGCCGATATCAGTAGTGTGACCTTCTCAGAATTTTTTACAAAACCCGAGATGAATTTACCTCGGGAGATTTTTGATGAATTTGCCCTAAGTAAATCGGTTTTACCCAGGTAAAAGTCCGTAGTGTGACCACAGCTACTATCTGACCTTTCTGAATTGATTGTTATTGAGCAAATCCGCAATATTGATGATAAACACAACGTCGACAAACGTCTCCTTACTAGAGAAGCATTTTGATGGGCCCAATTATGTACTTTATCCCTTCAACCTAATGGCCTGACCAAAAGATCGGAATTCAGTTCCAAAAATAGAATTGAGTATAACTGACACATTTCATCTTTTGAATTACATTTGCTTTTTCATCACTTCTTAATCATTTTTTTAATTGTAAGTTGCCGATGCACTCAGGGGCTCCTTTCGGGGATTCTGTTATTTTTCCATAGATTTTCCTTTCCTAGGTCTCTTTTGTTTGTACCTTATTACTTTTTGTTGAAGGTGTGTGCTCTAGGATTGTGTAATATTAATCCCTTTGATTCAATTCAGAGGCCCCGAATTGACTGGACGAAAATTAGCTTAGAGGCACTACCCAGTTCTTGGTAGCAACGCGACATAAGTATAGAATTTCTGCTCTCGTTTCTCAGATGCCGTTTTGTTGAAAACAATGGAGATGTCCCGATATATGTCAGGTGATTTTCCAGGCTACATAATCCCGTGGTTTTGCAACTAGTTGTAGCTGTATTCTAGTCAGAAAAAAACACACTGAGGACATGGGAGAACTAAGGAAACTAACATACCAAATTCCCCATTAATGAAGCAGATTTGCAGTAAAGCAACGCCTATGAAGGTTAGATAGGCGAGCATCTCTGGAAAAGTCTGCAAATCAAAATTCAGAGACAATCAGTACGTGATCAAATATGACTCAAAAAAAAAAAAAAAACAAAGACAAAAACAAAAACAAAAAAAACAAATTGATTTCTAGTAGTTGTAGTCATGATCAAATGTCGTCTTGAAAAATGGCCTATTGCTTAGTTATGAAGAGAACTGTCTTGTTAGTGTCTTTTTCATGCTGAAACTAGGTACACTGATAGTAAATCAAGCTAGATACCCTTTTTTATTATCTTATTATTTTTATATCCTATTTAGGTTAAACAAGAAAGGTTTCGTTTTCTTCAATCAGAATCAGAGACCTCTTACTTTGACTGCGAATTGGAAAACATAAATAATAATAATAATAATAATAATAATAACAATAACTCGCGGAGGAAGCAAAGAGGGTGTTTGGAGAGGAAGTCAACATATCGACTGAAGGTCAGCGTCATCTGGGAGCAGTTATTGCGTCGTAAGAATACAAAGATCAGTATTGTGAGGAGAAGGTTCGTACATGGAAAGAGGAAATTAATCGAACGTCTCTCTGAAATAGCGAAGAGCCAGCCCCATGCGGCGTATATTGCTTTCACAAAAGGCTACAAGTCGAAGTTCATCTACTTCATGCGCACGATTGAATCGTTTGAAGTTTATGTCGATCCAATCCAGGAAGTGATTGAAGATTTACTACTCCCAACTTTGTTCGGTCTATCAGAGCCTCTCCCTAACGAGTTGCGCAGACTTGCTACCTTAGCAACGGGTCAAGGGGGTCTAGGCATTCCTGATCTGAAATCCGAGGCACCGCAGCAGTTTGCTGCCTCGAGACTAACAACCACTACGCACGTAGACTCTATTACTTCACAGAGTTCCATCATGGTGCCAGGAGAAAGATCTACGGGGGAGCTAAAGAGGCATCAACAATCACTTAAGAGAGCAAGTGCCAAAGAGAAAATGGATAGCATTGATTCAAGCCTCTCCCCAGGCCTGCTGCGTCTGGTTAATCAACCGAGGGACAAGGGCGCAAGTTCTTGGCTGAATGCGATGCCTCTCGCAGACAAAGGTTTAGCCCTCAACAAGCAAGAGTTCAGAGACTCGCTACGCTTGCGTTATGACTTGCCCTTAGTCGATTTACCAAGTCATTGCATATGTGGGGATAAATTCACCGTTAGTCACGCCCTCTCTTGTAAAAAAGCGGGGTTTGTGGCGCAGAGACATGACGGTTTACGGACCTTGTTAACGACATTCATCGACAAGATCTGCAATAATGTCGAAATCGAACCACGCCTTCAACCCCTGGACAACGAGCGATTTCATTTGAGGAGGGCTGTTACAAGTTCTGAGGCCAGGTTGGACACCAAACGGGAGGTTTCTGGGCAAGAGTAGTTACGGCATTTTTTGATGTTAGAGTTACGCACGTCAACCCCAAGTGTTACCAGAGGAAGCCAACATCGGAAGTGTTCAAAGAGCAAGAAGAAGAGAAGAAGCGCAAGTACCAGCAGCGGTTGTTAGATGTAGAAATGGGTTCGTTTACGCCTTTAGTGTTTGGAACCAATGGCGGAATGGAAAACGAGTGTCAGCGGTTCTTAAAGCATCTCGCAGACAAGATAGCTCAGAAAGACAATGAGCCTTATCATGTTGTAATCACTTGGCTCAGGACACAGATCTCGTTTGAACTCTTAAGATCGGTACATGCATGCGTCAGAGGTTCGCGAACGCCTTTTCGTAGCAAGATAGAGCAATCATTAGACTGTGAAATAAATGTCGCTAGTGCGGATATCTGAAATATGTGTCTATATGCTTTTATACTTAGGGCTTTTTATGGACACTGGTTTAGCCGTCATTAGTATAATTCGATTGTATGATCTTAATATCTCTGCATAATGGAATTCTTTATTTTATAGACTTTTGAACTTTTATTATTAATTATATCTATTTCCTCTTCTTTTATGTAAGGTTAAGTTACCTCTATTTTTTAGAATTTGTAATTGAATAGTTTCTTTCCTCTGGAATTGCAGATAGTGGTTTGATGAATTAATTAGATTTTTTTGTAACAGCAGGTTGTTTGTAAATAGGATTTTAATTGAGGTTTTGTAATAAAGAGTTTAATTTTATAATAATAATAATGATAATAATAATAATAATAATAATAATAATAATTATAATAAAGGTAACAATGATAAAATAAACCATAGATAAGGTTCAAGCTTAGCCTGCGAAAATTCGCGCGGAAGAACGTCTGCGACTCAGCGGCAGAAATTCCATACTGATGACGTAAAATCTGTCCGGAATCCGGTCAGAAGCGCTGATTGGTCGACGGAGTAGTTACATTGTTTTAGTTATCGTTTACGAATAACAGAAAAAAGGACAAATGTAAACGCGAAGAATCTCTAACAAAACGGTCAATATTTGTGGAATATAGTCTTCTCTAGAAGAAGTATTTGAGTGTTGCTGGAGCTCGATCGTTGGCAGATGAATACAACACTTTACCAAAACCGACCAGAACACACATAAAACTGGACAAATTTATATTTGGAACCCCATGACTACCGGATTTATTTTGTCAACATTTGCATCATCAGTATGGAATTTCTCCCAC